CAACGTAGATAGGAGGCCATGCATAATTCTTTTGCCCATGTATATCCACATGTCGTTTCAGAAACCCAGCTGATTCACTTCTTAAACACCCAAGTCAACGGTGAAATAATAATTCTTAATAACTTGATCTCTTCTATTGTAATTTCTCCTTTTATTTTCAAGGTTTTCAGAAAGGAAAATATTCCACCGCCACGGTTACATTGTTTGAAGTGTAACCAGTCATAAGGTATTACCTCAATTAAAATGCTACCTGTAGAATCCTCTCAAGGAAAAAACGAATAATGGTTGTAGACTTGGCACTAAACGAATATCGGTCGAGGATTCCTCAACGGCTCGTCGAGGATTTTCGCCTGATCAGTCACGCTCTCCCGCGCGGACATTCACACTCGCCATGCGCGAGCCGTCTGTGCTCTCCGCGCGTACGTTCACTCTCGGCACTACTCTCGCACAGTAGAGAGCCATGGTCGAGGATTTCCTCGACCGTTATTCACCCTGCTTGGCACCAGTCTGAGTGTACGTTTGAGAACTCAAAAAACCTGGTTGCCACTTGCCCTCTTGGGTTACCGCGAAGCAGTGCCGCCGTGTTCAATGTCGATTCGAATTAGACATCATTTACCATATCTGGCCACAAGCTTCACAATGTACCTTAGGTTTCGAAGAAATTTCAGGCCAGTATAGGGTATTGCCATGAAGCTTGTGATGTGATATAGTAAATGGTACAAATTCGAACCAGCATCAACATAACAGCGGTACCGCTTCACAGTATCCCAAGAAGGCAAGAACTGAATCCTGATCCCATTTCATTTCATCTGCATTCAGTGTGCAATTTCGACAAATAATAAAAACTCAAAAACTTATGCACCCTGTGAACAGAGGATTACGGGCAATACTACTGCGAAAAGAATGGAGTTTAAATGCAGACAACTATGTTGCCCGCGACGGGCCTCTTGTCGGGAACCCTTTCGGTCCCACATGTAACTCAAAAAGCTTACCTTAAAGTTTGGCCCCTGACGCGCTCAGCAAGTCATTTATAAAAATGGAGTTGGCCAGCATGGGTTTTGATTCTAACCCCAACTACCTAAAGAGACATCCTCCCTACCATGTGCATTCGACCAAACTCCGCTTGTTTTTACCCAGATTTTTGTCTCATTCGTGCTATTTTCGAACCAACCTGGGAAACTTTGATTTAGCTCCGCCCACTTCGATGACAGCCATTAGCTTCCTTCCTTAGTCACTAGCACATCATGGAATGCAGGTTCTCTCTGACTGGAACAAGCACCACCCAAATCAGGGCTCCGCCCCTTGTGGGCGGTGCTCCATTTTTTCAGGCATGCTTATACCACCTTAGGCGTTGCTCTCTCTCTCTCCTTGTGGTTAGTCATCTCTACGAATTATTCTTCCAACTAAAGAACAGAACAATGAATTTTAGTAAGCACCACCTATTGAGAACGGTTGGCCCCGCGGGTGAATTTCGTGGATATCATGTAACAGCCCGTTGTCACTTGTACTCATTTTTCACAGCCTGTGGACTGTACTGAACTCGATTTAAACTTCCGCCCACATATTTGATGCCCTATCCCCTCCCACAGCCCTCCTCCCAGCTACGTACGTAGAGCGCTTATTTAGTTCGCTTTTATGCACTGTAATTCTTGGCAAATTCCTATCCTAGAATTGACCCAACCTATTTATTCAGGTTGCCAAACTTTGTGACAAACTTTTGCATTTCAGATATAGAGGTACTTATAGATTTTTTTCGCGTCCTTCCACGCAAAAAAAAACTCAAAAAAATATCTCAAAGAGCGATTCATGAGTGTCTAAAAAATGATGAAAAAATTTCCATTTATGCAGAACTGTGACGTCGCCACCGACAGATTTGCTAAATAGTCCCCGTAAAGCAGTGATTCCACCATTCAACACTTCTCCTTACAAGGAAAGGCTCTCAGGTCGCCATGGCCATTCAAGAAGAGATGTATACCCTAGATGTGCCTTTGAACGCTGATCTCAAATCTACCTTCCAAATCTGCTAAACGATTCTCTGAACGGAGTTATGAAGCAAAACAGCGCAACGGTAGTGGTCGGGATTTGCAGTCAAAACGTCGTAGGATCGGCCCCTGATCGCGTCTACTGTTTTGCCTTCTTCAGGAGTACAGCTAAAAGGCTTTTAATAGCCTTTAGCCTAATTCCTGAAGAACGCAAGACAGTAAACGCGATCAGGGGCCGATCCTACGACGTTTTGACTGCAAATCCCGACCACTGCCGTTGCGCTGTTTTGCTTCATAACTCCATTCAGAGAATCGTTTAGCAGATTTGGAAGGTAGATTTGAGATCAGCGTTCAAAGGCACATCTAGTGGTATACATCTCTTCTTGAATGGCCATGGCGACCTGGGAGCCTTTCCTTGTAGTAGGGGAATTAGAAGGGCAAGTAGCCGTTAGAAGATGAACACG